AGTAGATAGCGCTATTTATGCAATAGCGAAAATCAGACCTGAAAAAAATCAGGCCTGTACGGGATTCGAACCACTGACCTCTGCGATACTAGTGAAGCGCTCTACCAATTGAGCTAACAAGCCAACTGGGAGCAGGCCGTTAAGTTGATTCGTAATGAACCCGTGATGATAAATCAGATACAATGAATATATGAAGTTCATATATTTTGAACTGCCGTATTAAATACGTATGATGCACGATCCTTCGCAGTAGATAGCGAAGGAACTTCAGTTGATTCAAATTCAAATTCAGTGGTAGAGCAAGAGACGGTAGCTTAATACAAAACTTCAAAAGGCAAATGAAACTGAAAATTTGAATACTTTTCCAAGCATTTGCAAAGATTAACTTTTAAAAAATGTACTTCACATAGAGTGTTCACGCTACAATTGCAGCTTTCCGAATTCCTAGTGGGATCCCTTCCAAAAATTGTTGACAACCGTCGAAGTATGAAATGTATGGAATGGTAGTCATTGAAGAGCAACTTTTATTATCATTTTCGTAAAAGCTATAAATAAACAACCTTTAAGGAAGAATAAGACTAAACTTCTTGCAAAGTGCAAAATTAAAACTAGGTTTACGAGAGTCAGGAATGAAACTGTTTAAATTTAGAACTTTAGTGGACTATGATTGATCACTGGACAGGTGTCTTTCTCTGCGTCTTCAGCAAAGATACAACACCCTCATGGGCTCCGTTCATATACGCGCTGGTTATCAAGTTCAGAAGTTATATATGCAATACCTACGATTTGTTGTTCAGAAGAAACTTAAGGAATACACATTGAAATGTTAAGCACAGCCACTTAACATGTAACTCCCAAAGGACACAACTGAGAGTATACAATCGAATGACGCCATAAGTCATCTTGAGTTAACTGGACCAATTTGGCAGGTTAGAAGAAAGGAGGACTGTTTTACAATCTCTTGTTGTTGGAAGATCAATGAAGAAAGTGCACTCTTGGGAAAAAATACCTTAGGCCTGTCTCTTGAAAAGGGGAGTGATTAAAACCAACAGCTAACAGCACTTTTAATTTTCTGTAGTTACAAGAGAAATAGCTACAACTGCACACTTCAAATATATGAACATTACTGTGGAGTGGCTCGCAAGACATCGGTATTCTCCAGTCTGAGTTCTTCTGATCTTGGTTATGTTTTAAGTGCTTCTGTGCCTGACATCACCAGTCCCAACATTCTTACGAATCACAGTTGGACGGAAAGTACCTTCAATTACAATACTATTCTTGGTCAAATTTTTACCTCCTTCAAATTTTCCACCTGCAGGAATTGGATCTGGAAGGAAATAGTAGAATGAAGTTGTTGTTATTGTTAAAAGTGGATTAAGTGATAGTACACGTTTGCATTCTAATTGTATGAAAAGACATGGAAAGTTGCCACAAGAAACTTTTGAGGTACTAATACTCCCACAAATCCGAAAGCTCTCAGTTCGTGCGATGTATATATATATTTATAATGTTGTTTTTGAATAACTGAATAAGATGATCAATTCTCATCGTTATCCTCATAAACTTTGAACGTCTGTGACCTAAACGAACAGGAGATCGCAAATCATATGCAAAAATCTCACATTCAGAGAATATCTCTAAGTTGATAATTTATATGTAAGAAGAAACCACTTATCATGGATGCAGGAATAAGTATGCCATTTAGAAAACACAACTCCTACTCTGTGGGAAGTAGCTGAAGTAGAACTTAGGAAGAGGAAAAAGGACTTGGCTTAAAACACGTGATTTTAAAACAGAGCACGTATATCGGAAAATTAAAATGTACCCTTGCCTTCAACTGTCAATGGAACAGTTTCTGTACTTTCTATAATTCCTTTAACAAAGTAGTTTGCCCCGCATCAGAACTCTGACTGACCATGAGTTGTCAACTGTTTTGGAACAAAACTCCTGAGGTCTTCGTGTTTTTATCTGTGGTACGGTTTCATTACAGCAAGTAAGCACGTACCGGTGGGTTGGCTTTAGAAGTACATTTGAAGTTTACGACATCTCTTGTGCAGATTTGTTCCCTGTTTAAGTTGTGCTTAAGTCAACATGGTCAGGGGATCGGTAGAGAGATAATAAGAGATCATGAAAGTCACCAGTAGTTGCACTCGTAAAATGTACCTACTTCATTTATGAACCGCCTCCCAGTTAGCTCAATGGATAGAGCGCTGGACTGTTGTGCGGGAGGTCGAGGGTTCGAGCCCCGGCCGGACCAACACTCAAGGTGTTAAAATAATTGAGAACATGCTTCCTTTCTACAACATCAAGAAATGGTTGGATATTCTAGTCTTCTCGGATAGGGACGAATAAATTGAGGTCCCATCTCCTGCAGGGTTAGGGGTAGGAGACGTTAATTTCCCACGCACGAGATTACTGTGTGATGAATGTCCTTCCCCGGGGTGGGATGGGTGGATGAACCTTGTAGGGGACTACGTGTCCTGTTGTTCTTCCACCGGTACAAGGTACAAATCTTTAGAAACAAATGACAATGGACGCCGTTTATACATAACCTCCTGAATTGATTTCTTTCAGTAAAGACACTTAAGTAGAACTTGTTTGGCTGGTTTTTTCCCCTATCCTCAAAGTATTTGCCGCACCAAAGTGTATGCTAGCTTTAGGCCGGCAGGAGAAACACCATGGTAAGTCGCAAGGTATGATTTTCCAAGCCAGGGTGACCTTGAAAAAGTCTTTCATCCGTAAAAGTGGCTAAAATATTGGAAACCTTTGGCTTTCACGTGGTTAGTTCCGCTCGGTCAGAGTCGCGTAAAATAAAGGTCGAATAGAAAAACTGTTGATAGATATGTTGAAGGAGATACAGCTGGCTGGAACAGTGTGCCGTACAAATATACCCTCAAGGCAAACAAAAAGTAAGGAAATGCACAAGCATTAAGACTTTCGCCATGTCTCAGAAAATGAGCATGTCAATGTACCAAAAGTAGGTCAACTCAGGTTGTATCATTTATTTGACTCCATTTTCTTTCAGTGAACAAGAACATTATTCATTTCAATATAACAAGGCATAGCTTAGTTCAAAATCTAATTTTTAAAATTAACAAGACAACTTTACAAATTAATTTGTAACAGCTACTGCATAAACCAAGAACTTCCAAACTCAAACGCAAAATTAGTAGTACAGATTCAAAAAGCGCAGAGCAATCTTTACACATTATATATCCAAAAAAAAAATACAAGTTAAAATACAGAAGATGAAGAGAGCTTAATGATTAATTTTGTAAATTATCCAGCTATCCGTGAGCACTAGTAAATGGTAGCTTATTGCATCCATCTCAATGCAATGTGATAAACTTTTCCTTAAAAAAAAACAGAAAAACAAGTCAATCTACAGTTAAGGTCACTGTCAACATAATCTGGTCAAAAGTTTGCTCTGTAGTCAGAGAAAGCAGTTTAGAATTATTCGAAAAAAATCGATAAATCTTGGAGAAAACGCGAGAAACGGCTTAAAGAATGTTTTAGGGGAACCTGTATCGAAGACCGAGAGGTGTCAGAACTGGAAAGGCCTCCAGCCCAGTGTTGACGCTTTCTGCGGGCTTTCGTCGGGATCTCGATTTGCTCATTTATTAGTTAACGACACGTTTTTCACTGAACAACAAGGAAGTTCTAGCACATTTCACAAAACGCTGAGAAATAGGAGTCTTCATCAAACTGCCGGAAAGAGAAAGTCGCGAGAGAGCCCGAACTGAAGAAATGGATGTTAAGATTTTCTTTTTTTCTACGTTGCTTTGCCAATCGCCCAATTTCCCTTTTTTTCCCCGACCGCCTTTTGGATTTCGTTTAATCCATAGTAAATTCGACTTTCCCATTTCGCTATATGGCCTTTCCCGCGAATTGCAATGGAGTTGTTTTTCAAGAGACTTGCCAGGGATTTCAAAGGGTTCGATGTTGCGTTTCAGTGGTCGGCAGCAAGACCGCGTTGACACCTGTTTAAATGAGGCGCGAAAACAGTGAATTTCTGTGAAGGCTAAAAACTCAAAAGTTTGTTTTACACGAGTTACTTCAAGTTAAACAAATCAATACGGTATGTAGATTTGTTGCATTTTTACAAAAATTGGCTGGAATTTTCTTCAGATATTAACGCGCCAAAATGAGGCTTTCACGAAATTTGAGGTGTTTCTCTCATAACGACCCAGAGCGTGACAACAACCGAAACAATTTCTATTGCCCAACTTCATAATAGCTTTTTTCAGGAACCATACAGAAATATGGAAAAAGCCCCTCGCACTTTGTTGGCTGATTGGCTGCCAAGCGGTTGGGACAGTTTGTTTGGAGGTCAACGGCAAAGCAGGAGCTCGTCATTCAGTGAAGCAAACACCGTCAGTTTTGTATTTAAAGGCTTGCCCGCGCCTACTTAAACAAAAACTGGGAAAAAAAAAATTGGTGTTCTATAGTTTTCTGTAAAGTAGCGCGCGTAGCACGATTTTTCGGAGGGCACCCTATTTTGTTGACAGTAGCTTTAACCTCTAGCTAAAAAATACCCAACTCAACGTAAAACAACAAACAAACAAAGCATTAACCTTTAACTAACAAGCCAGAATGATACTTCATGCTAAGGAGGCGTTAAGGGCATCATGAGTAATAATCAACGAGCGAAGAAATACACCTGACTAGACATTTTCTTAATCTTTTGATTATAACACGAACAGTGCACGAAGAAGACAGAATTGTGATATATAAGGCTTCACGAGCTCAAATTTACAAAATATTTAATACTATGCATGAGTATCATGGACTTACACTCCACATCAATGTACACCATTGCTGAAGTATTCTCACATGTGTTGCTTGCAATGCCACGATATTCTCCAGCCTTATCTCTGCTGATGTTCGGGAAGGTCAGTAGGCTTGTGTTGCTGACAACAATGTTATCCTTAGTCCACCACACAGTTGGAATAGGAATCCGGAGGCATTACAATACACTTTAACATGATCACCTTCTACACCAGATTCATTACTGGCCTGCCTAAAAGACGGAGGGACTGCAATAAAAAGGGGAAAACGATGTTAGTTTCGAAACGTTTAGTTCGTGTACTTTTTATTTATGTTTTGTTCCAGTTCATTTTTATCGATGTACTCCATTAGTTAGCGATTATGACTAAATGAGTTCGTTAATTCAATCAGTTTCATTGAAGCACATGTCTTAGACTTCGTTTTTCATCGCTGCAAGTTCGATTGTTGCGATCGCTATCAACTCATCATTTGTTACCAACGAGTTTTCTGCTATCGTCGGGAGCTAGACCAAAGCTAGTTTTTGTTCATCTTACATCCACGATACTTCCCTTTTCGCCTGTATTATCGATTTCTCGCATTCAGTACTCTTTCTAATCGCATCATTGTTGGAAAGGTAAGCGTTACATTTCCAAGGGTATTTTTCTTAGTTTAGTTTCCGCTGTATTTTCTTTTAGTTCGAATCAGAAATTCAGCCCGGAATTCAGCTACAACCTGTAATTGTTATTAGGCAACTTCGACCACAACTTCGTCCTCTTCATCAGTATAATTCAACGTGATTTTGCAGCGCTTTCTTAATAGCCTGCTTAAAGGTGGTAGTTGGTATGCGCGAGATTCAGCGCGGAGAATATATTTGGTCGCCTTGTTAGACAGGTGGAAGATCTGGGACGAGTGACGAAGCGATAGGGAGGTGGGAAGGGAAGAAAGCCCTCCCTTCTCCCTTTCGCTTTGTCACTCGTCACAGATCTTCCACTTGTCTAATATGGCGACCGAAAATATTCCCCGCGCTGAATCTCCCGCATACCACCAACCGCCTGCAAGCAGGCTAATTTCTTCATTCCAATTTAGAATTTTGATTATAAAATCGACTTCACCTTGTGTTCGAATTATATATTCCGCTCCACTGGTAACCTTTGGAGGTTACAAATACCACACGAGTGAGTTTTCCTTAAAAGTGTTTTAATTGTGCTTACAGAAATCTTACACGTAGAAACTACTTTGCAGAATGAAGACACGCACTTAAGCCGCTTCTCAGGTGAATAATTCAAAACATCAACCTAATTAAATAGAAAAATTTTGCAATTCTTGTCAACCCTGATTAACATTAATGAGGCAATACTAGCTTTCTCCTTCCTTTCATGTGAAAATACTTCTCGAATAAAAGACGAGTAAGTGATATTTCGCTCGAACACAAGCCATGGCCTTACCTTTGTTCTCATAATAGGACTTTAACCTTAACAACACACTGAAGGAAGGTGTACATCTGTCGCTTTGGGATTACGCATTGTAATGGGATTGTGGACCAAAAATTTTGACAGCTCACCATGCGCTCTGCATGGTGTTTCAAAAGTTCATGCCCTTTACTTATTTCAGCACTCTGGATGCAACATGTTTACGACCAATTACCTGATTTTATTCAGTTCTCAGTTTTTAAGTTACTCAAAAGTTAAAAAAAAGAAAAAAATCAGAATAATTTTTTTCCTGAAAAAATGTGCATCTGCGAACGCCCTCGTTTCTCTCTTCCCCGCCCTCTTTAGTACATGATCCTGGTTATCATCCTGTTTTCGTAAATTTTTCTCATTTTCACAAAGATGAAAACATGTGAAATGGCTTACGCACAAGCATAAGCCTCAATTTTGAGATCCTCTGGGATATGTATTGAAAAAAGGTGGAAAATATCATAGAGAAGCGAGCGCTGGGTGAAAAGATGGTCACGTTCCAGAGATTTTTAGGACGGTCTAAGAACAGAGTGGAATCACAGGCCGCGCGACATAACAAACTTTCATTTCGTTCCGCAAATCCTAAACGAAATAATCAAAGTTTTCATTACCTAGATGTAGATCTACTTCAGAAGAACCCGCCAAAGGATGTTGTGTTATTCCAAGAAAAGGGAGTGACCTTTTCACAATATGCAGCACTGGTTTACACAGCCTAGGCTACTCGGGGATGTTGACAGAAAACTTGACCTTCTAATTCACCCGACCTTGAGCCAGTAAAAGAAGTTCTGGAGCATTATTGATGAAGTTACTTATCGAGATTTGGCCCTGGAAACAATGGAAGGACTGAAAACGCGGCTAAATCAGGCATGGAAAAACGTTTTGTCCGCAACCCTTAAGGAGCTAGCCCACTCTTTGCCACGAAACTTGAAAAATATCTTAAAAAGGCAAAGGGGAACATGCAGGCTACTGAAATTGATCGAGTAAAAAGTCTAAACATGGGTTGTTAACTTACAATGCTTCATAAAACGTAAAGTTCAAAACCTATTTTTTTTTCTGTGCTCCAAAGGGGGTACGAACTTTTAAAATACCCCGTAACTTTTATTTACAGGGCGAAAAAATGGGAGTCCCAATACTTAGAAACGCCTAAACAGTGATGTTATAAGCCCAAACGATGTTTTGACGATACAAGTTCGAAAAGGAGAATTTAATCTGAAGGAAATAATCACGTACTTTCGAATGCCTTTATGGACAACAATCAAGCTCATAAGCTTTTTTTTAAACTTTTGAGGTTTAAAACAATATCACAACCACAGCGTGTCCTAAGGTGCTTTGATCTTAATTCACATAATATACAAAGGACACAAAAGGAAATTGAATTTTGGAGACGTACCAGCTATTTTCAATTTCATTCGGTGTTCGTGGACAATTCATCTTAATGACACCTTCAATGACCGCTAAAGCGTTGTCCGTTCAAAATCCACATCCCTTATGCTAAACAAGTAAAGAAGAAAAACAGGGAATATGCAACATTGTTGACTTCTGTATTATAATGTTAGTTAAGAGTTTCTTGAATAGAACATGCACATGACCAACCCAACTTTTTAATTATACTAGAAAGAACAACAAACATATGAAACATATGTATGAACTGCGGTTATGAAACGTATATGTGCACGATCCTTCGCAGTAAAGCACTATTTGAGCAATAGTGAAAATCAGACCTGAAAAAAATTTCAGGCCTGTACGGGATTCGAACCACTGACCTCTGCGATACTAGTGCAGCGCTCTACCAATTGAGCTAACAAGCCAACTGGGAGCAGGCCATCAAATTAATTCGACATAAACCCGTAGATGATAAATCAAACAACAACAAACATATGAAACATATNTTGAACCATTACATGAACTTTTACCAGCTCAGAGAGCTAGGAGCCTCAAGAAAAGAGGACATAATTGCATCCTGCCTCTAGTTAGAACCGAACGTTTTAAACATTGCCTTTTTTAATAGATGTCTTTTCGAATTTGTGTAGCCACTTAGTCTTGTATATACATAATGAATTGATATATGTAGGGAATTGTAAGTCCAGACGTTTTGTCTCTGGACGTGTTTCTTTCATTTTTTCCAAGTCAATAAAGATCTTATCTTTTATCTGTTAACATTACTAACTTGAACACTAGATTAGGTTCCGCCATCTGGTTTTGCACGGATGCTCGTGCCCAGCTCCCTGTCAGACTCATAGCCAGGCCCCAGAATATGCAAGATCGCCAAAAATGGCCGTCTATGTTCGGATTATGCCCTAAATATATTTTGTACTCCTGAGGCCACACTATGCTCGAGATCCTGCGGCAGAATGATACATCGCATGCCATTTTTCGAGTGAACACAAAAATGTCGGGTTCAGGCACAAACTCAACAAGAAGTATGGGAAACGTTAGAGTTTATTTCTTGCGTCTGAAAATTTATCAAATGAATACCTTTAACGTAGTCTTTTCCTCGTTTTCACTAGAATAACCGAAGAATCATTGGACTGTTTGAAGCCTCCCATAGCACCATGATCGTGCTTTCTGCATGCCGAATTTGCTTTTGCAAATTGAACCCAAGTGTTAATGAGAAAAAAGTGTTTTTTACATAGGAACATGCTTGTTCCGCTTCGTTTCGTTCGAGGACAAATTTGCTCTTCTCAATTCTCATACCCTTTTTACCATGCAAATGGAAGCGCCGCTAGATTTTTGCATGATGGATCAAGCAAACCACAAATATTACTTACGACTTCAGAAAAAGTCTTGCAGGTACTGTTCCTCTTTGAGGCATCGTTTTCATTTTTATTTATGGAAGCCTGCATATGATGAGTCTTCTCCACTGAAACTAGAAGGATTAGTAAAGTACGTTCAATTTTTGTTTCCTCATCGCTCAAAGTTCATAATGAGTGCACATTCCGGGACCGAAAGCTCCTTGTAATTCCATTAAAATCAAATTCGCTTATGTATGAGGGGCTAGCCAAGCCCGTTTGGTATCTGGAGGTTTCGCCAAATTGAAAGTTCACCCCAATCACGACTCGTGCACCCCACAAAACATAATACGTTACCATCTTACCATCTTGCCCCTAAATCTTGCAACTCGTTTGCCTACCGCAAAACATGTTCCTTTCCGACGAAATCATAATTTACCTTGACTGACATATAAATTGTCTGTGAAAAGTTTTCAAAGTTCAATCAGTAAGCAAATTCCTCGCTTCGTTAACTCACTGGCGAGTGCAGGAATAACTTAAAGCGGCTACATATTTTTAGCCTTACTATAGCTTCTTGTAGGCCTAAAATGATTAAAAAGCAATTTACCAAAACATTCTTGATAGTTTGCAAGTTTCCAATCCCTCTTCGTCGAAGTGGACGTTCACAATACACGTGGATCTAGCTGAAAGTATGTCTAACCATGAAGTTTGCACGTCAACAGCATTAGGTATGATTTTGACAAAAATGAATCTCTGTTGCCGTAGAGAAACGAGTTGAAGATTTAAGCGTGAACTGGTATACTTGCAAGACCATCTGTAGACGGCCCCGCGAAGATGGCAACGAAACTGTGAAATCGGACTGATGGCAGACGAATTTGGCAGCTGCCGGACAATCTTACTATGAGAATACTAAAAGGAAGTACCATTCCAGTTGTCTACGCTCTCCGCAGTCAAACGCAACACCTAACATTTTCTTAGAGCTCAACCTCAACTATAGAAAGTTCTTCTTTTAACTTCATAAAAATTGTTTCAGCTACGAACATACAAACTCTTAAAACGGGTAAATCTGTAGATTGCTTACATGTGACAATCAATATTATCATGCACAACCTGGTGAGTTTCTGGAATGAAGGAACTCACTTCGAACGACGTTCGAGGACGTAATTAAGCATTTGTCTGTTCTGAAATTATTTTCAGTAGCAGCTTTAAAAACTACCTTATGAGGTTACTAGCAGGTAAACACTCTTATCTGTTACACTGACACCTATTTAACTCACCAACTTGTACGGAAACCGTCACAGTCCCATTCGCCACATTATTTGTGGCCAAACAAGTATATGATCCACTATCACGACTTTCCATTCTTTGAAACAACCACGTTTTCCCCGTTTTTGTTCTGCCGTCGTCACTGACCCAATTGTACTCAGGTAAAGGGTTTCCCGTCATAGGGCATACAAGATGAAATGGTTCGTTTTTAACCGCAATAACTTCTGTGGGACCGTTCCTTACTGGTTTATCTAGAAACAAAAGGGAGAGTCAATCCTAAAGAATATTACACTCAGAGCAAATTTTACAACACCACATCTTTCTGTGATTTGTTTGAAAAAGACAATTACGCATTACTGACCAAGCGCGAGGTCTAAACGGCTGGAAATTTATTGAATTCTTTAATGCATTTTAAGGACCGAGACGCAGTCAAGGCCCACAACATGGCAAAAACAGAACGAAGTCAAAATTCAGCCATTTTGACCGCACAAGCTTGATCAAAATTTCTTATATAGCAATATACTTTGCTCTAATGAGAAACAAGAATGACTTCTCTATTTTCGTGCTGTGGTAAAGAAAGCCAATTCTAATGGCGCATGCTCGTTTTTCATTTGACAAATTCTTTTGACTGTCACTCTCTTTTAGCGACTCCACTGCCGTCACTGATCAAAAACTACAAACTTTGTTAGTCCACCCGACGCAGTGTTTTTCTTGCGTGGGATCAAAGCGGGCAATCCCCTCCAGCCAAGATGAACCCATTTTGCCTAGTCAGACAGCCAATTAAAACACAAGATTCACTTCATCTCACCCACGAGCGCCGCCAGCTATGTAATGATCAATTTTTGTATCTCATCACAAATGATACTTTAGAAAAAAAAATTGTTCGAAAACTGTACCACAAAGATAAGGAGACACGATGTCAATTGAAACAAAATGTCTTTATGCAGAACAACAACACAAGTGTCATATCAACAGTATTAAGGAGTGATGTGTACTTTAAACAATTCCTTCTGTATTAGGAGGAGTGTGTTACAGGGTGTTATAATATACGTTTAAAACTTTTCTAGCTCCACTTAAATTCACAGCTCATACTCTGAAGACAAAAAAACCTTTTCATCATGTCCTTTCAACAAAAAACTTTCAGCAATGTATTTCACGCGCACAGTGATACAGCAACTCATTATTACTTCACGCCAAGAAAGAGACTTAAACCATAGTTCTGATCTATCACTGTACGGAGGCAAAAATTCCGTAAATTCAGAAAATTCAGTAAACCATTAGTATACTGCGATTACACATGAAGGAAAATAATGCAGCCGTACTTAAACTATATACGTAACCCTGTTCTCTCCCCGACGAACTTAAAACAATGGCATATTTAAACATCAAAATAAAACTACGTAAAGAAAGGAACTTCACACGTATGATGCACGATCCTTCGCAGTAGATAGCGCCATTTATGCAATAGCGAAAATCAGACCTGAAAAAAATTTCAGGCCTGTAATTTCAGGCCTGAAATTACAGGCCTGAAATTACAAAGATAATGTTTGCCATTTGCCGTTGTTACAATCGTCATTCTACCCACTAATAACTTAGCCGACGGCTCCCTATACCAATCAGCCATTAAGAAAAAAAAGAGAAAAGAACAAAAATGAAAACAGAGACAGTGCTTTTCCTATTTGTAAAGATTACTAGTAGAGAAAAGTAACTTTCTAGTAAAATAATATGTTGAGCATACAAGCCTATCGTACACGGTAATAGCTGCTTTCCTTACGTCATCTCACCTCTAGCAGTAAATGTCAAATTCTTGCTTTCTTCGATCCCTGGGAAAGAGTTGTTAACTTTGCATCTGTATGTAAAATTGCCTCCCTTGTCAAGTCTCCTTATCCAGATTCCTGCATTGTCCGAACTTTGAATGACTTCATCATTCTCGTACAGTAAGTACGTATGTGCCGGTGGGTTAGCATTAGCTGTGCATGTGAGATTTACAAAAATTCCTGCACAGACCTCTTTTCTTGATGAATTTGAAATTAACACAACATTCTCAGGTTTATCTGTGAAACAAAATAGAACATGGACACCTAATGTAATGTAATCAACACTTGAAAGTCCTAAAGAATTTACATATGCAATGTCATTTAATGATTAATGACAGAATATCCACTGAAGGTGGCTCTTTGTCTGTAAAAACACTTGTGCTCTGATAATATCAACATCAAAACAAATAGCTACACACAATTTTAAAACAAAGCATCCTGAAGAGTTACATCCCATAGACAAACAATCAACCAATGAGGGAAAAATATGGAACCAAAGAAAGATGTCACTTAAAGTTGACAACACTGGAAGGTTTTTACAGCCATCAGACCTAAGAATTCATGACGACCTAGTCAAATGAAAGTAAAGTGTGCATTTTAGGGAAAATGAACTTAAATTTAAATGGTAGTTCCAAGAGTTGGCAATGAATAAAACAAGGTCCAGTTTATGATGTGAATGCTATTAGAAGCAACAACATATTAATAACAGTCTGAGGTATGATCTTTGAAATGGTGATAGTATCCAAATCCTCTTTTCCAAATGATGTAATCTGATCTGATTGGGAAAGATTATGCAACAAATTCTAGCTTCACTTTTTTTTCCTTTTTTTTTTCCCCTAAAGTGATTAAACATTTAATTAGCTTTATTTTAGGAGATACACAAATATGCGAAAAGTGCAATTTATGAAAACTCTTGCTTTGACACGTTGGCAGCTGAGTAAATATTTGCACTTCGTAGTCTAAAGAGAGATGTTTTCAGGTTTTTTGTTTTGTTTTATTCTTCTGTTATTTTTTTTTCAATTTTAAGGGAACAGCCATGACTTGATGTTCTGTAGTAATCTTAATTGTCTACAGCTCTAAATCATAACCCTGGAAAAATGACCTTTCAGTGTGACCTAATATGGACTAGAGCAGGTTTTAGAGCGTTTTACGAGCTGTCAATGAATTACATATTTAAAGTAATGTCATAATTCTTTGGCTATATTTATAAATAAGTGTAAGACCACTCTTCCAATACAATGTTATCAGAGGGTAAATTCTACATTACTGGTGCGTAATTACTTACAATTACTATCAATGTGATAGCGTGCATGCATTTTCTGACCAAGTAAAGGAGATTTTTAAACAACTGGTCAGATAACTAGCCATAAAATAAAGAACAACTTAAAAAGGTGTGACCACACTATAATAAGAACTCATAAAGCCTAGCTAGCTAAGGAAAAGTAATTAACTATGCCGTGTTTTAATTGATTAAAAACATTTTTTCACTGAGAAAATTCATATACATTTACACTTAAATCCCTTCCCAAGCTTTGAAGTGCTTTCAACAATCATTACTTAACATTGTATACTTAATGAAAACTGGTTTTTTTATTTGGAACTATCAGTTCTTTTGACCTTACCGTTCATTGTCAAAGTAGTATTTTCACTTGATACGTTTTCGACACTCTGATTTGCGTTGCAACTGTAGATAGGTTTGCCTCCTTCTGATATCTTCTCTATCCAAGTTCAACTTTTGCTGGACTTGAATTCTGTTCTGTTCTTGATAAGCAAGTAGCTATAAACCAGTGGATTGGCTTTAGATGACGTGCAAGTAAAATTCACCCCCAAATCAGAGGAGTAGTTGTTTTCTGTTGCACTTTTTTTTTCAAAGTGACATAAGCTGGCTTATCTGCAAAAAAAAGGTCATGGAAACATCAACAATCCGGCAGGTCCTATATCTTTCAGAAGAGCAAGGGTTTAGACGGGCAAACTTTCAGCTGACACAGATTGACATTAGTGTTTAAATCTACAATTAGGTAACTCGAACATCTTTGTCTTTCTCCACTAAATTTTTATTTGAGATTGCAATTAACTATTTTCAAACACTTACAGAGTGCAAAGAGTAAATGGCGAAGAAGACTTGTATATAAGGAACAATAAAAGCAAAATTTTCCTAAGGCATTTCATACTTTGGCTGAGAGACACCCTGGGAACAAGACTGGAATAGCAGGCCCTACACAAAGATGTTAATGAACACTAAGGCCACCCTCTGATCAGTTTGATGTGAATCAAGATTAGCTGACATAGCTTAAACCAATAAGAGTACTAATTAAAGTTGAAGACGAGATACACCATACTATGTTAGTACTTTTGTAAAAAAGGTTGTGCTTGTTCATCGTGGTAGCGTACAATACTAATAAAGTATCATTGTTTGTCTCACGATTTGGTCACTAATGATGCGAAATCCAACGTTTCGAGGGCATACTGCTAGTCTTCATCAGGAGATCAGGTTAACTGGTTTCGGGTCTTGCTATGACGCCGGATGTTCGGCTGTGATTGGTTGGTTTTCCACAGCTGTGATAGGCGCGTTTTAATCCTCAGCGTTAGTGAGTTGTTCCCTAGGCGGTCCACTTTCACAGGGCTCTCCGCTTCAGGAATTTCTTTTCCACTATCCCTTTCGATATTTTTTTGGATGAGGTCTTATGTGAGTAGCCTCTTTGACCATACAAGTGTACCAGTGGGGATCACGACCAATAAACTTAACCTCACTCCAAAGCAGTTGGTGTCCAGAGGAGGATTTAAACACGCCAATCACAGCTGTAGAAAACCAACCAATTACAACTGAACATCATGCTTTAGAAGACCCGAAACCAGTCGACCTTACCTCCTGATGAAGACTAGCAGTATGCAGACGAAACGTCACGATTTACATCTTAAGTGACCGCATCGTGAGGTAAACGAAAATACTTTACTATTATTATATCAGTGATATAAGTCAAAACAGTATGTGATAACCAAATTGTATCCCTTCTGTAATAATTGCTCTGACATGATAATCTTGAAAATAAATATTTTGGCACAAGTGAAACTGGTTTTGCAGGTAAAGAGTATCATATCCATGTAAATAAGTAAATGTTAACATTGGATAAGACAAAAACATTTTTTCAAGATAAGCTGATGTGGATCAACTTGAACATGAGCATGTATCTTTAAAGTTCAAACTCTAGAAAACTACCTGAAAAGGGTTAAGACATACAAAAATAAGTATCAAAACTGTACAGTACCTCAAAGAGAAAGATCCCAAGTCAATATTCCAAAAATATAGTTCTTCCCTCAGCAGTGTGGACTGTCCAAATATTTTAGTATGATCATGGCAAATCTATTGCTCTCCAAGAAAATGTGAGATTTCTCCAAAAACTCTCTTGCAGTAAAATTCACAGTAAAACAATCCATGGTTACATGGAGTATGTGGTACTTGACTTTTCATAAATTTAATTAATTAATGTTCCAAAGCAACAACTATCTTTTGTCTCGCAAATTTGCTAGTACCATATCAATTTGTCTCAAATCATGCCTTACCAGCTTGCAATCGCAAAATACACTCGTATTGAGGCTTTCAACAATCTTACTGTTATTGCTTCAAAATTATTGCTATACCAGTTACATGTATGAGAACAGAACACGTACTAGTTAAACTATTATAAAATTCTGTTCAATCTTAAGTGAGACGACAATGTTGTGTACTACACATTACAATATAAGTTATTATCGTTTCCCGAGCTATATAATTACAGTAACTTTTTATCCACGCTAACAAATTTGAGTCTTTTAGACATCTGTGATCATAGATTATTCTGATACACAGTAAAAACACAATTACAATTTATTCCACCCTTTTTCTTGCAACTGTGGGACAGTGCTCCAAATTGCAACTAATTTTGGATGGATGGTATTACAAGCATGCAAAAAAAATTATTACTTGGCGTTTAAGGGCTGAAGAAAGTGAGCCATAAATTTGCATAACATACTAATTTTGCATGAAAGTTCCATCTCTAAATGAAAAGTCAAGAGATCCTCAGATTGATAGCTAACCATAGTGTTAGTTTCAGGAAAAGGGGCATGGTGACCATTTTATGATTTTTTGGGTGCAAAGTGGTGACTTTGGAAAAAGCTAAGCTAGAGCCCTATTCATTATGCCTTTTCCCAAAGAGTGGTGCAAGGATCAGTTCACCTCTGTCTTAAAGATAAAAGCAAAGCAAAACTCAAAACTATTTTTTAACTGAGTCTAATTTTGAGTAATTTAATTGTACTTTAATATTCAGTTTGTTTCCCATTTTAAGATTTTGATTTGTTTAAGACATTAGGATCATATTTTCATTTTCATTCATATTCCTAACGATGCATTCAACCAATTAACTAATTACTATTACTCATTAATTATTATGTATCATGGCTTCGTGTTGGAACTCTTCCACATTTCCAAAGTTGATTGGTTGCATTAATTATTGTAAAGTATGGAATGTACATGTAAATCAGCTTTTTGGCTTTCATGACTGTCGTTTTTCAGAGCAACAAATTTTAAAATTTACCAGAGTTACCCATACCAGAAAGGTCAAAAGTTAGAGACCAGATAAAAAGCAATCTACCAGTCCATCTCTTGTATCAGCCATGGGGATCCATGCCACTGAGGCAGCAATAAATGCTGAGGGCGAAAACACCAGAAACTCTGCAGGTACTAGAATTGGAAAAACTGACAATGGTTGAAGTAAAAAGCAAGTCACTGTCATGACAAAGGGAGCTGTCAGTGATAAAATAACAGCACTGATTGGCTTTAGAATGTGAGAACAATGTAAGAGCAAGCTGGGCTGCTACAGGTCATTGCTGAAATGGCTACCATCCTGATGAGGAAATGCCAAAGGTGGACTGGACACGTCACCTGTCAAGAAGCCTCTATCGCAAAAGGCACTCTACACTGGACATCAAAAGGGAAATACAGACACTAGAGGAAGAAATAAGGAGATGGAGAAGACCTGGGGAGGCATCAAGCTCATGGCAAAGGACCAGCAGATATGGAGGGAACACGTTACTGCCCCACATGCCACTGGGCAAGAAGGACATATGTATATGAACATATATATGTAAAGAGTCGATTTTAGAGTTGCTGAAACCTACACTAGGGTTTCCATCTAAAAAAATTTCTCAAGTCTATTCGGATGACCACATTAGGTGTCCCTTTTTAAGTTTAACCCTCTTCCCATTGTCTCTAAGACTACAAAACCGTTCCTTGCTCAAACTGTTCCTCACCTCACCAGGGACACAATGGGAATTAAAAAACCACCAACAGTGGAAAAAATTTTCAAAATCATCAGGAAACACGTAATTTGACAGGGAAGCCAAAATTTTTTCTCATTGTATCCTTAAACTTGCCAAAATCTAGCAGAGTATTATTTCAACCCTGAACTATTTCTTAAAATCAAGATTCAGTATTACCTGAGTGGAAAATTTCCCAAATACATGACAACCATGTTGTTTTGAACACTAAAGCTTACAATGTCCCGTAACCTTGAACACATACAAGTAAATGCTCCTAACAAATTTTGATAAAGGAAGGATACTTCCTCTTTTGAAGTACACATACCATCAGCCATTTTACCACTCCTCAAAGCGATCTTTTGTGGGGTGGTATAGACAAAAGTTATGTTCCAGAAATTAAATAACAGGAGCAAAACCAATGGCAGAGATGGTTGTTGCAAAAACGAAGCCAAGCTAAAGACCTAAGCTAAGACCTCAGGCATAAGATGCAAAAATGAAGACCTGAAAACAAGGACTACAGTCTTTGGGTTGAATCATAAGCTGCCTTTATCTTTGAGTGTGGTACTGTAATGGGACTTTTCCCAGCTGAACCAATGTCAAACATAAACTGAAGTAATAGACATTGTAGCTAGGATGGTGGAAATAAAAGTTCAATCGATTATATCACTGATTGTAGCCTGCTTTTGATTGTCTGCATCCCCATAAATAAGATTCAATGCGCTTGTTCAAAATTCCACACTGAAATACAGAGTGATCCTAAACAAAGCCCCATGTAGCATTTTGTTGGCTTTAATTCTAAAGTGATATCAGAGTAACAGAAATGCAATAGAGTCATCGAGCCCTCACCATTCCAGTGGAATTAAACTCAGATTGGGTAAAAGTGAAAAGTTGCAGGTCTCTGGTACAAAAGAATTGTTTGCACAGAGATGAATGACAGAATTCAGAGACAAAAGAAAACATAGGCATGCTATGCATGCAGAAGCTACTTTTTTGGATGGGTGGGTTGAGATGAGACACTTTTAGTCCCTTTTCTTTCAATTTTGTACAAGAAAAAGAGCATTAACTTTCAAAGTTTCTGACAAAAGTCATTCCAGCAAGAGCAAAAAATACCCTTCCAATTTATATGAATTAAACTCAGACACAAGTATTTTGTGGTCTGTTGTCAATGTTGTCAAAACAATTCAAAGCTAAACTAAACTGCACTGTTGCCTTGTTTACAAAAGTCTCTATCAAAGCCTTCGTTTAGTCTTGTCATGCAATGCACTGTCTCTCCTGTGGCGTGACAAGGTCCCTTACTTACTTGGGTGGCTTAACTTACTCAAGGTGCTTTTCTTACTTAAGGTGCTTTACTTACCTGAGGTGCTTTCCTTACTTGAGATGCATTACCTATTTGAGGTGATTCACCAACCAAGGTACTTTCCTTACTCTAGGTGCTCCACTTACTTGAGGTGCTTTCCTTACTCAAGGTGCTTTATTTACTTGAGGGACTTAACCTACTTAAAGTGTTTTCCTTGCTTAAAGTGCTTCACTAACTTGAGGTGCTCAGCATACTGAAGGTGCTTTTCTTTGCTAGGTGCTTTACATAATTCAGGTACTCTGCTTACTTGAGGTGCCCTACATACTTGAGCTGCTTTACTTATTTGAGGAGCTTTCTTTACTTGAGACGCATTACTTGAGGTGCTTCACTTTATTGAGGTGCTTTACTTAATTGAGGTGCTTTACTTACTTGCAGTGCTTTACTTGCAGTGCTTTACTTGCAGTGCTTTACTTGCAGTGCTTCACTTGCAGTGCTTTACTTACTTGAGCTGTTTTTCTTAATTGAGGCACTTTACTTACTGGAGGTTCTTTATTTGTTGGCTTAACACTAGAGATTAACTTAGTTAAGCTATAGAACACATTTCTGTGGGCTCTTCAACATGAGAAAGTCATGTGACATGCTGGGAAAACATAAAGATAGCTATAATTCTATTTTCAGAAATGGGATAAGCTTCTGCCACATATCATTTTGTGGGATGGGTGTCGCCCAAACAGTGCAGAGTAGCATAAGATTGGAAGTCTAATTTTTTTCTGTAAAGCACACAATTTCTCTCTATAGGGAATCCTTGGTACAATATTTGCCTCATTAGCATAAGCAATTCAGTTTCTGATGGAGCTAAAATTAAATCAGGTCTGAATATCGAAAGGTCAAAGTACAATTAACTCGGCCAATGAATACGAGCCTAATGCCTTGAATACTTTTTGTGCAACACGGGTTTAAAAACTCAATTTTCATAGAATATATGAGCTCATTAGCGCTTTTGCCACCCAGAAATTTTGCAGTTTTTGATGGACTATTTCTCCTTGACTATTACACCCAAAGAGCTAAAACTTTCACCATGTACTGAGGTTGACTAGCTCTTTAGCTGCCTGAGGTTAATTTGTATCCAACATGCTTCCTTCTTTACGCAAAGCCGTATGCAAATTAGAAAAAATGTAAACAATGACGTCAGCATGAATCCGCCTATACTATTAGTAAAATACTGTAAGTAAATTACCAGAACATATTGAAAGTAGTATAAATTTTATGTCGCAAAATAATGTAGAGTATGGTGTAGGTAGTGTAAGTAATCGACAGTAACTCATCTGTTGTAACCAAGTTTATTGTAAACTAAACTTTGTTAGTAGTGTTTTCTCAGTAAATTATTGCAAGTGACATACTGTAACTGAGTCCTGTAATGTATTTTAAGTAGAGTAATGTTTTGCAAAATGACAAAATAGAAAGAAATCACAAAAAAAAAAATAAATAAATAAATAAACAGCTTTAATTTGATTGTAAAGTGTGAAACATTAATTTTCAAAACTAAATTAGTGAGCAGCACTTTATGTGCATTACCCGGTAGTTGTGAAACCTCTTTATTCTCCTATCATTTTCCTTAACTGTGGTAGACTTCTTCATAGAGTTTTGCAACTCTTAGCAAATGTGTTTATAAGCCATAGTGGCTCCTACAAGGGCCAATAACCCTACTGGCTTGGCCAAACAGGAACAGGCACAGTTGTGAAAATCTTGAAATGTTCTTGGTAAGTTGAGAAGAAAATATTTGGGGGCCATGGTTTGGGCCAGGTTGGTTTTATCAAAAAAAGGCAGCTACTCAAAAGTTCAGTTTCAACACAATTATTGTTTTAAAAATTTTTTATGTATTGAACTTTCCTCTAGTTATTTAGATGATATATCAGTGTTTGCTAGAAGCTGGAAACTTGAGATAATACAATCAAAACATTGTACTGACGAAAATACCCACAATAGTACATTGGTCAATTTTGGAATACAGCTGCGATTTGGAAAAACCAGTACACCAAGGAAATAAAGCACCTCTGGTCAGCAAAGCACTTCAACTATGTAAAACACAGAGTACCAGTAAGTAAAGTAACTTCTGTTAATAAAGCATCTGAAGTAGATAAAGCACCAGCCTTCGATTAAGGAAAGTACCTCAAGTAATTAAGGCAGCTCAAGTAAGGAAAGGTGCTTGAGTAAATAAAGCACTACCTATAGGCAAAGCGCTTCAAGTAAGGAAAGCGCATCAAGTAAGTTGCACTCAAAAGTCGTCTATATGGTAATATGTTACACTGCCATTTTGTCGTCCCTATGCATGGCATTCACCTGTGAGGTATACACCTCACATGCCATGAAGTATATTGGGGATGCCACTTCGACTTTGCTAGCTTGTAAGCCTGAACAATATGCCCTCATTAATGGCACCTCAGCACAAGCGTTTTAATTTTACTGCAGAAAGCAAACCAAAATTCCATTATCTTCAGGAAACCTTAACCCAAGATAATTATTTTATAGTCTCTGTTTTTCCAACAAAAGAAACTAAATTGAACAAAGGCAAAAGAATCATATTTCAAAAGCTTTCATGGGGTCATTACAATGGGGACTCCTCGTTTTACTGTTACCTATCGAGATGTTGCCCTCTGCATGCGGAATACGAGATAAAATGCAGGTTGTTCATAAGGAAATGACAAATGAAGAGGTGAAGTCCAAGGAAGCACAGGGCAACTTTGACTGACAGGAAATGTCAAAACACACAAGAATTGTGTGGAAAATTTACCAACAATAGCTTTTAATTTTGTGTAATTTTTGTTTTTTCAGTGGGGTATGATTATGTTGTAGTTATTAGGTGGTTTACTAGAACATTTCATTTTATTGGGGAAAGTCTAATGAATAGCAACAACTAAACACAAAATGACAGCGCAAAAATACCATTTAAACACAAGGTGATGACTTCTACAAGCAAAAAACCAAGATCAAGATTGCAGTCTGCAAGAAAACTAAATATAACTTGATGATCTTTTCAACCTGCACCAAAAGAGCAAATAAAAGGCAAGAACAAGATTATCAATCAAATGCGCTGTATGCAAATGTTTTGCACAAATTTTACCAGGGTCAGCAAAACTAGCCCTTCCACAACAAACGCTTTGGTGATAACTTTGTATAAGGCCTTTTGCTGACAGCATGTGAAGGAGCAGTACACAGGACATGATTTTACTTTTAAATTTTTTTTTTTGTGTGTGTGTGTCATAATGGCCACCAACTTTTTGGAATTGGCTACCACTTTAAAATATTTAGGAGCCAAGTGGCTGCCGGAAAAGAAAGTTAATTTTACGCCCTGTATTGATGTCTTTCTTTAAGTGTGTTTCAAAGTCGGGTTGATTCCATTGCAACATCTTGCGACACTCTAATTCATGAGGGACAATACCCTGATGCTCTGATTAGTGGAAACATAACCCACTGCTTTGATTTTATCAATGTGAGATACATACCCTAATGCAGAGATCTGACTGGCACATCATGCATACTCTAATGCAGTGATCTGATCAGTAGGAGATACATTTACAAATGCGGCAATCTGATTGGTGCAGGCAACAAACCACTCCATGGAAATATAGAAATATTTTGTTCAAATAAATAAATAACTCTGTGAATCGTTGCTCACTGCTTACATCACTGTGACAATTGTGACCCTCCACAGGACTTTGATGCTAAAGGTGATAGCACGCTCACAACACGCTTCCACTTTAGAAAAAAGGAAATCAGTTTGAGCACACTTCATTAGCAAAATCTTTTGTTTCATAGAACACACTAAAAACAAATAAAGCGTGACCTGTCAAACAATGTAGCGTGAGCAGTTGAACGTAGAAGCGTGTTAACCTTCGAAAACAAAAGCTACCGTGCGAGACGATACAGCACACTCAGCGTGCGAGATCGTGCACAGCAATTAGGCTAGTGTGTTTACCGTGTCAAAAGAACTTTAAAAAACGACTGGTTGAAGTGGTTAAAATGAATATCGATGCATAGTTACTTACCATTCTTGAATGAGCCTATTGACGAATCATAGTCGATTCTTCTTGTTGTCAAGCATAAGCTTATTGATTTTATTTCAACCTTCTGACATACACCATCGATTGCCGCTTTTCAAGCATAAAAGACGATGAGATTCAGCTTCAAAGTCAACGTAACTCATTGCTTTTCGCAGTTTCTTTGAAGAAGTAGTCTTTAGTCGGATTTACAGTACCCGACGGTGTGCTTTGCTGTTTTCGATCTTTTTCTCGGTCATAAACATGGACCATTTCAAGTCTTGTGTATTGTGCTGTAGATATAATTATTTTCACGAACAAACGCAAAACAAATATCGCATGGTAAAGTTTTGGGGAATATTTTTTGAGCAGGTGAATAGCATGATGACCAAAAGCATTGTTTGCTCAAAGTAATTACTATGGCTCTGGAGAAAGTCTTGTTGAAAGCCCCAAATTTCTCAGCATGTTACCCCATTTAATCACCTGTAAACCAGTGGACCCTAACCTGGGTTTTCTGATTTTTTTTTTCCGAAAGAACAGGGTTACACTCACAGCCAAAAGTATTGCATTAAACTATCTCCTTGAAGTATCATTCAGTAATTTAATTTTTGCCAGGCTCGATTTTATTTTCAATCATTGCAAAAATTTTGTACATTAAGGAGAATCATTCCTGCGCTCCAATAAATTTTCTTTCACAATACTGTTCTACAGGTTAATGAAACTGCTTCAGAGAGTCTGCAATTACTCATAAATACAATAGTCCGATAAATGAATTCTGGTACTTACAGTAGACAGTGACATTGACTGTGGCTGTAGCAGGTACACCCACTCCATTACTGGTTGTACATTGATACTGGTTTATGTTATCTCGTGTCTCAGGTCTGTCCACAATAACTGAAACTGATGGTGTATGAGCTATCACCTCAGCACTGCCAACCTTGGTCCATGCTATCTTAGGCTCAGGTTTGCCAGATGCAGTACATGTAAAATTCAGTTTGTCTCCCTCCACTGCAGTGGCTGTTTTGTATGATATTTCTACTGATGGAGAAACTAAGACACACATAGAACAACTTAGTAAAAAATTAAAGGATAGAAGAAAGAGGATTGGACAAACCTCATACTATTTTTAATGTAGGATGCGGTAAGCAGGTTTTCATATACAAAATACTGCATATTTTTGGCCAGCTAGCAATGTGAGCAATCAAGAGGTTGGTGAGGATTCCTCAAGCCAAACCCTTCAAAGATCTATCGCACAAATTCTTTTGAAGAGCACTTGTGCCCTGCGACCTGACGTTTGGAGCATTAACCCTTTGCTAGAATTCACCTTTCATCTGTCAAAGGCTAACACTCAAATTGTTCATTTAGAAACTCTTTATGGTGGCCAATGTAAATATTAATTATCAACTCAGTTGATAAAACCAATTATCTTGCTTCAAGATATGTTGTGTGGGCAAAAACAGTCTTGCAACTTCATTTTCAAAACACCCAAACGGAAGAACTAAATTGAAATAAGCAACAATCAAATCTCCAAAAGGTGAATGTTCGACTATAAGTAGTATAGCATGTTTATATAGGGCCAAACTGTGCACAAGGGTTTTTATGAAGATGATGACGACATCAATGATGACAATGTTAATCTATGGGTATAAGTATTGACTGATCAAGAATAAACCCCTCTCTGAACAAGTTCAATGGTATTTTCAGCAGGAATATCCCAAAAGTCTGTCAAGAATATTGCTTTCAATTCCCTCTCACCTCAAGCTCGGTGAAATTTGATAAGGATACTTGCAACATCTGAGGTGGGATAATTGTATCAAGCATGATAGAATACACAAACAGGTCATGCAAACTGTCCATCATTTTATGAATAAAGACAAAAGAGAATTTGACAAGGTATTAGAGTCAGCCATTGAAAAAGGAAATTTCTCTTAAACCCCCTCTTCGGGAGAAGTCCCTTCCTTAAAAATCTGAGGAAAGGGAAGAGGAGGGGGAAGAAGGAAGAGAAGGAGAAGAACCACAGAAAGTGGTGACGATTGTAAACAAAATTTCAAGTTGGCTATTTTGCTGTCACACGAGTTCAATCCAGCCTTTTTATTGGTTCCCTCCAAATTTGCTGCAATCTGATTGGTTAGGCCCCATATAAGCGTGCTATACTACTACCATACTATTTGCTCACACTAATCACTCTTCAAGAATTTTGAGTGGAAGAAGTTGTTGAAAGCAAGTTTTCTGTGATGGACCTGAATCAAGTTTTCATGAATTAAACCAAATTTATGTGGCTGCATAACTGAGTTAAAACCTATCTGTAGTATTTGTATAAAGGGGGTAAGTTTCTAAAGAAACTATGGTGTTGTGTCTGTGGGGGTATAACAAGGTCATTTGGTTTTATGATCAGCTGAATTGAATTTGTAAATTGGCCACCATAAAGAGTTCAAAAGCTGATGTTTAGAGCGTCAGCTCTTTATCAGAGCAAAATGACAAAGGGCTAACACTCAAAACATCAGCTTTTTACAAAAAGGCAAATTTACAATTTCAACTTAGTTGACGAAACCAAATTTTTATGTTGTATTTGTAATCTGACAACTAAGTATTTTGTGAATTTGTATTAGGCTCTGAGGGATTAATTTTAATCAATTCTTGTATCCTGTAATGAAACTACATTGTGCAAAACTACTATGATTTTCTTTGGCACACAAAGTAGAGAAAACTACGTACCAATTTTGGGTGTGAAAAAAACACTGTCTGAATCCTATCATAGACAAGAACTTAAAAATCAGATCTTCTGGCTATAATTATTGTGTATTATTAAAAACTGGATCATTGTATAATGCAATTCAAGACTTTTTATTGGCTTAGCCACTATGGTATATGAGCCAATATACCATAATCTAATATCTGTATATTGTAACATCTGGTTTCTTCTTGTAAAATGAAGTCAAGAGGATTTGTCTTATATTTGGGGCTTTTTTTTTTAATAAAACAATTATTCCACTTGGACTCATTGGATATGAGATAATTGTAGCCAACTCAGCCCGACACACCTTGTTGGCTATCTATCATCTCATATCCAACGTGCGTTCGTGGAATAATTGTTAAATATCCTCTATACAATTGCATATTTATTAAAAACCTAAGATATAAAATAACTCTTTTGAAAAGGTAATTACCTTTTGCACAGTTAACTTAACTTATGGCTTTTCATAAATTATTAAAGCCTGAATGTGATTACTTTCAACTGTTTGTTTGTTTATTTTTTCGTTTTAAACAAAAGGCTCGCCTGGCGCATTTTTATAACATCTAAATGCAAAAAGCTGAAGACACCTGCTTAACAACAAAAAGGTTAAACTTTTATGGCTGTGTCCTTAATTAGGTGTCTCTTTATTCAATAAAGTACATATGGGGAAAGTAAGTTTAAGCACAGGATGTTTGTTTGATACAAATTTACTACTTATGGGAATATCCTCTGAACAATATCAGGTAACTAATGCTAGTGTCTTCTAAACATGTAGAGCAATGCTTTTCCAAAAGAGACAGACACAATGCAAAACATTTTAAAACAAAGACAATCAAAGCAAAGGAAGCATGAATGTTTTGATTTCCCTAAGTAATTATTATGAGTCACACTGGCCAACATGACACACTTTGGCAATAGTATTGTAAAAGATACTAGGTAACTCACCAACAGCACTAATGTTGAGAGTAACATTGTTTCCTGTGCCCACTGTGTTTACTGGAACACAAATGTACACTCCATCACCTTCTACAGTAATGTCAAACTCTCCAGAGCTGCTGTTACCAATATAACTCTTGTTAAAATACAAGTGATACAAAGCAGGAGGGTTGGCAGTTGTGACACAGAGAAGTGTCAAGTTGCTGTTCAAAAGTACTGTGGTGTTCTTTGGATTGCTATCAATGGTAAGATTTGTCATCTTTGGAGCAACTATAAAATCAAAAACAGGAGGACTTCATATTGGCAACCAGGTTAACAAACAAAACCTTGATACAGTACTGTGCAGAAGTAATGCAAACTATTATTGCCACATATCACCCTTGTTCTCTCAACATATTGGTGATATATTGGTGACAAAGTGTGCATTTTATAGACACTTTAGAACTATAAATAAACGAGATATTAGAGCATTCCTGTGATATCTCATCCTGGCGATATATTGTTACAACAACATATCATAGCGCATGCAGTATACATCATCACCCATTAATAAATAGAGAAGCCTTTTAACTGTGCTCTGTTCTGTTGTAAAGCATGCAGGAAATGGTAAGAGCATGAAAAAAGTGTGGGATGAAACACGAGGCATAACCAAGTGTTGTTTCCTACTTCTCCAGTGCTCCAACCGCTTTCTAAGTGCTTTACAACAGAACAGATCACAGTCCAGGTTTCTCTATTTGTTTTATAATAAAGAATCCATTCAATTTTCAACACAAACTTTAATTCAAGAGCAAACAACAGCATCATCAGCATGCTCTACACTCCCATAGAGTGGGCTACAATAAGCCAATCATAATCCTTGTTAGAATGATAAAAAAATCTGATTGGTTGAACAAGACTAAAGCCATCAAAAACGTCAAACCATTAAAGTTCACTATCTGCAATAGTTTACTGAACTAGTAAACTGAAATAGTTCAGTGGGCCGCATTTAACACATCTGCCTGAGGTCTTTTAGTCTCACTTCAGAATCTGAATGGGAAATTTCAGTGAAACCTAGCTGAAAAATAACACGGAAGTTCTTTCACATGGCAATTAGAAAACAAACTGCTCAAGGCATGTGTTTTATGATTGAACGCAAGACGAACTCACAAGAAGAAGATTGCTCGGGATGACAGCACTTTAAGACTTGGCTGCCGTAACTGATGTGGTCTTGCACTCAACGTATCAGAAAGGATGTCAGAGCAAGCTCTCAGTTCAGTTCACTCAATGGGTGGCAGATGTAATTTCTGAGGCTTGCTTCCCTGTAATAACTGGAGATTGCCATGATAAGCTAGCCACTTTGCACCTCAGTATGATCGCAGTCGCTCTGACATTGATTTGACATGACTTGTATGAATTATAGCAGTCGTGCAAGTTACGATATATTTGCAAGTTTCGTTACACCTGTTTTTCTCTCTTTTTTGTTTTGTTTTGTTTTCAACATGACAATATATAAATACTGTACAAGAGTAAAAAAGACTGGCTGTAAAGTCAAGTAAACAACAACATAACCACAATGAATTCCACCCCATGCTCTTTGTACATGTAAGAAATTTGCACGTTTTTCCATTGTGATAGTAAATCAAGAACTGCTTTAAATAAAGCTTTTGTCCTGAGATATTTCTTGCGAACTTTCTTCTTGCTTCTCAATGAAAAATTTCACATAACATAGGATCTCTTCACATGTGGCCAAATTTGCACATTCACTTAGAAATCTGATCCACATGCCTATTTCCACACTTGCAAAAATATTAAGCAATTTTTGTCTTTCCTCTTGATTTTAGAGTAAACCTATAATTTTTCATTGAAAATAAGTTATTAATTCAAAGCTTTAAAGTGCCCCTGAGATCAAAAATTTTCGTACCTCATTTTTTTTCATTTTCGTGTTCAGTGTGTCTCCTTCACCTACTCTGCTAAATTTCAGACTAGACCGAGCACCAGAAATATCTTGTTTTGGGCTGTTAAACTCGCCATTTCGCGTCCACCATTATTTGACTATGTTCCAGAAATTGATTGCAGGACTCAGAGGAAGTGACATCAAAGGCTCAACGCGAAAGTCTAACATGGCAAAATGTCAGGTAAACATAACAGAATGCTTTACTCTATTCTTACAAAAACTAAAAAAAAAATTACTAGGCATCGACGCGTGATTTAAAGCTGAAGTAATCGTGCAGACCATGCTGTAGGTATTTCTCTGTATCGGAGCCTTGCAAATAGATCAGAGCGGGAAAAACAGTTGCAATTTGTGTGAACTTGCCGAGTAAACTACAATCCTGCAAGAATATTTGGGATCTACTCCAAACACTTCTCAGAGGGCTGTTTTGAGAGATCTGTGTACCTTGAAGGATCTAGACGAAGAATTCTGTCGGGTTCAGTGCCTACCATTCAAAAGGAGGGACAAGAAAAACTGTCCTTAGTGCAATTTCGACAAAAGTGAAGTCTACGAGCCTCGACAGGTTTTGTCACCTTTACATATGCGCTGATCAATATCTACCTTTAAGAACTCTCTGGCAGGACACCTTACACAAAGGAAAGTACTCGGTGAACATTGCAAATACGAATGATAAAATAGCCAAATTCAGAGGAATTAGATTTCTGACCTCAAAGAGCTCACTTTCACACAAGAGATGAAAAATATAATTGTGTGCTCTGACTCTAAAAAAAAGCTAGCTTTAATAACAGCAAAAGTAGGACAAACAGCTGAGGACACAGTGTAGAAACACTTTGAAATGTAGGCTTGCAGCAAAAAAACTGAGAAAATGAAATTTCTTTAAAATCCTCTCAAACTATCAACCATCTGACAGCCAAGTCAGCGTGCTATCAAAGGGTCCTTTATTCATCCCAACACCCGCAACCAATGAATGTGAAATCAAGCCAGGTTTTGTGAGATTTATTCGCAAGACCAATGCGCCTCCGTTACACCTTTCACAGACAAAACAAAGAACCACTACCGTTTCATATCAAACTGAATGCCACCGGTTCAGTCTTCTATCGCCCTTCAGACCTACTTGGAAAATTGTCATAATACAACTTGCAGACTGTATCGAGCCAAAAAATACTTTGTAACGCAATGAGGTCACAACTCTGAAAGTGTTGAAGCACACTCTGCTTTAAACCTCACCCAAGCAACCCAACGCTAGTCATCATGAATTAGACAGAAAAAACAAGAGGCCAAAGTGCAACTCAACAACAGAGTTCACTTCAAACCTATCAAAGCACCGATAGTAAAAAACACGCTGGAAAGGGTTAATGAGATCATTGACCAAATGCATCTGGCAAACACATTAATGGCTTACAAATGGCTTTCATAAACCCCCAATATCCGCCTTGATACACAATCAGCCAGTGCCAAAAACAATTTTGATATATCTCTTGATCCTTTCTGACAAAAAAGGAAAACCCCTTACAACAAGCAAAAATACAACTCGAAGGCGATAAAGCGATGTGACCACAAAACCCACATGGGGAGTCTGTGCCGTTCTTTATTTATCTTTATTTGTATGGCAAAATTCATCCTTTGCCGGCGCAAAACTATCCTCAGAAGCTTCAGATGATTTCTGGGACAATTCATTGTCAGACAAAGTCAACATTTTACGACTGACAACGAAATAGTTCTCAAAAAAGTACTGTGTGGTTCTCTTTGCAGCGAAAAAAGAGAGTTATGACTAAGCAAAGCATAAGTTTGTTGAGCCTTTGACGTCATGATGACGTTTCTTGCTGTACGACTGGAACATGTTTTCAGCAATGGCGGACGATTTTTAGACAACTTTGAAGCGGTAAAAATTGGTCATTGAAGGTTTATTTTGAGTTTTTAATGGCAAAAAGGGTTTTAACTTGACCCAATTCTACATTCTGTAAAATAATTAGCACAAAATAAAATGGTCAATTTTCATCTCAGGAGGCACTTTAAGTGCGTTACTTTTTTTGTGGTGTTTTTAATGTATGCAAAGAAGGATGTGCGTGACAAACAATAGAATCCCCATAAAGTACACACCACAGTTTTGATGGATATTTTTGTAGAAATAAAGTGCGTATTAAACACACTCAGGTAAATACGGTATTGCCCCAAGCACTACATTTTCTAATGGAGTTATTTAAGTTGGGCATTGGTTATAGCACCATTAACACAGTATGGTCTGCTCCATTCAGAGTTCTAAAACCTATTGATGGGATAACATTTGGAACTCAAGAAAGTGTAAAAAGGTTTCTAAAAGGAGTTTAAGAGGCAAGACCCTCCAGCCCAAGGTAACCTGAGAGATGGGACATGAGTAAAGTATTGAACTATCTTAAGACAATCTCTATAACAGACTGCTCACTCAAGGACCAGACATTAAAATTTGTCATTAGTAATGGCTCAAAGGGGGCAAACAATTCACTACTTGACTTTGGAAGACATGGTTACAAAAGAAACTTCTGTAACACTAATCCCTTCAATACCAATTGAACAATCTATACCAGGATGCAAACCAGACAACCCCAACAACTGTTAATACCTTGAAGGCTAATCTCAGATGAACCTCTACACTACAAGAAGGTGTACAACAACTGTTAGTTATCCTATGCAATTTAAACCAGTTTCTTGATATCTACTGATAGATGGGTTAAAACTCTCATGTGTAAGTCTGGAATTGATGTAAACGATGGTTTTGAAGCCTTCGGTACATTGACCACTGCAGTGTCAAGGGCTTTTTCAAAATCTGTCCAGTTAGACACATTCTAGTAGCTGCAGGGTGGAGCTCAGCTGACACATTTGCTAAGTTTTATAACCAGTTGTAATCACAAATAATAACAATTTTACGAACACTGTTACAATATTAAGAAAATTAACTGTTGTTAGTTAAACAATCTCCTGTTGTTGATTGTTATTTTGTTCGTGTGTGCAGTTGACCTTAGCAATGTTATCAGAAATTTACAAGAAGTCGGGACTACGATGCATGATATAAGTCAATTGATAAATGCAAATTCACTACATTTCTTTGCTTGCTATAACAGCAAAGTTTTCCATTTTCAAATTCTTCGATATTCAAATTATTCAATAGTCAACTTCATTATTCAAATTCTTCAATATTCACATTCTTTGATATTCAAATTTTTGAAATTCAAATTTCCATAATCAAATTCTTCAACATTCAAATTCTTTAAAGGATTGTGCAGACATTCTTTGTTTGCTCCCTGCAGCCTTTTGGGGCTTGCCATCGAGTGCTGTGGTCTGGCTCAAATAAAAAATGGCACAG